ATACATGTTTCTAAGATGCTTCGGTGAAAGATCAAAGGCGCCGACAGTACTTTATCAGGCGATAATGTGCACTTTTTGCATTACGTCATACTGTATTGGCGCTACTGCGCCATTCCAGTCTGCCCCCTCGTAATCGAACACTATTGCATTACGTCACAATGTAAGCGACGTCACGATGCATGTCAGTTGTCATCGCCTCGTACAGCCTCCTACAGTGAACTACTCCGCTGCAGCCCGTTTCTTGGTTTGCAGTTGCTTCACACAGATGTTTTCCGACGGTTTAAATGTCTCAATTCGACTCAAAAGTTTTTAGCGACACGGTAACCTTCGCAATGTTTACATTCCCACAATGCAATCGTGGAATGTCGCTTGACTACCCAGCTTCATCTGGATGTACTGATCTAAACGTACGTTGGTAGTAGAAATGCGACGTTCATATTGACCCATATGGTTTACGTTAATGTAATTAGAATAATTTACGTAAACCGTCATCAAACTGTTTATCATTTGTTTTTGTTTTCTGGTAACGTTCGTCTTAAGGTAGAGGGCAGACACATCAATAAAACAGCGCGCCAGTTAGCCCTGTGCGAGGATTCTTGATTTAGGTCACAAACACCGTCGTTTGTTTTCTGCCTTAGATTAATCGTAATTATCCTTAGAAAGTATTAAATTTGGCATCTTAAAAGGGGTACAGTTCTATTATAGTTAAAGCACGATGAAGCTTAATGTCCCAGTGCTTTAACGTTATAATACTTCAGGGCGAAAGTGTGCTTTATTACACCATACATTGTGATAGCGCGAACTGTATTTCTTAAGTCTAAGAAGTTTCGCTAAAACATCAAAGGCGCCGACAGTACTTTATCAGACGATAATGTACACTTTTTGCATAACGTCACAATGTAATAGCGTCACTGCGCCATTCTAGTGTGCCCCCTCGTAATTGAATGTACCCTTGGTAACAGGCGTCACAATACATGTCAGTTGTCATCGCTTCCTACAGCCTCCTACAGTAAACTACTCCGTCCTCGTGCTTTAACTGTAATAGTTCAGGGCGAAAGTGTGGTTTATTACACTATACATGGTGGTAGAGCGAACTGTATTTCTTAATTCTAAGACGTTTCGCTAAAAGATCAAAGGCACCGACAGTACTTTATCAAGTACACTTTTTAACATGACGTCACAATGTATTGACTTCGCTACGCCAATCTCATCTGCCCCCTCGTTATCAAACGTACCCTTGGTAACCGACGTCACGATGCATGTCAGTTGTCACTCACTCGGCTATCATCACCGGTGGAACATTTTCGGATAAAATGACTCACAATTAAACGGCGACACGGCAACTTTCGTAATGTTTACAGTCTCCCAATGCATCTGTGGAATGTCGCGTGACTAGTCAACTTCATTTGGATTTAGTAGAAATGCGACGTTCATAGCTCCATATGGTTTACGTTAATCACAAATGTAATTAAAATAAGTTAGAGAAGATATTTAACGCAACGTAAACCGTCAACCGTCATCACACTGTTTATCATTTGTATTTCAGCGTCATAACGTGTGGAGGTGTGTGTGTGTGTGTGTGTGTGTGTGTGTGTGTGTGTGTGTGTGTGTGTGTGTGTGTGTGTGTGTGTGTGTGTGTGTGTGTGTGTGTGTGTGTGTGTGTGTGTGTGTTGTTTGGGTTGTCACCGACACCGTCGTTTTCTGTTTGTTTTCAGCATTAGATTTTTTACACTATGTATGGTAGAGCGAACTGTATTTCTTAAATATACACACATTAAGCACCTCCCACTTTTTCTTATATCATCTACGAAAAGAAAACACGTTGATGTCTACGCTTTGAAAACAAATTACTCTCATCTAAATGGTAACTGTAAGATATTTCTACTCTGATTAAAACAAAGGTGAAACTGAAACTTGGTAACAATTTACTTGCAATCTGAGAGGAATACAAAAAAGTGAATATCAACAATACCATAAAGTATGGCCACCATGACAACACCACCAATCTGGTTGTCACACAGTTGTCAAGGTGTTGTTTGTGACTGTATGAACAACATCATTACCTGGTGCAGCCAACACACACCACCAATCTGGTTGTCACACAGTTGTCAAATGTTGGTTGTCACACAGTTGTCAAGGTGTTGTTTGTGACTGTATGAACAACATCATTACCTGGTGCAGCCAACACAGGTGTGGACACCTGCCAGGCTCCTCATACTGGCAACCAAACATTGAAGTCCTAGCATCCCCTGCTATTCCTCGTGAGTACCTGTGTCCGTTCCTGCAAATCTTTAGCAAGAAATGTCTGGCTCGAAGTTAGCGTCAAAGATGTTCCATGTGGTTCATAATAATGCTCAGCCCCTGAATATACATAATTTTGATAAGGAAAACAAATAATTTCCATTTAAATTGCAAAGGAGACTTGAGTTATGATATTCAGTGAGTTATGAGATTCAGAGTCTAATAACATCTTGATATGAGCTACTCTAGACTAATGCTTAGTCTCTGAATATATATAATTTTGATAGTAACAAACAAGCCCAGTTATATTGAAAAGGAGCCCCATGGAGACTAGAGATTCAGAACCTGAGGAAATCTAGACTTGCTTTATTTAGGGCTTTAGCACTGCAGAGAGGGCTTGGCAGTAGGGAAATTAATGTGGTTCAGGGACTGTGAGACAGACTAGAGCTACTCGTGCTGGGGTCATTATCAATTAAAATAATATAGGACAGGTTTATTTGTTGTTCTTCCTGTGAAGACTTGTCCTCTCACCATGGTGTCTAACTAACTACTTATGACAACTGTATTAACTTAAAAGTTAAAACTATCACAATGCGTGATACTCTGTTAACATCATCTCTGTATTCAAACTGTATGTGATTGTATAATGCATGCAACTCCAATGTATATGGGCCGGAGGCCTGAAATACCATAAACATCTTTGACTTGACTAAACTGCTGTTGTTATGACATCATATGCACTCCCATTCTAGGAACCCGTGAAGATCCGGGTTAGAATATTGATCTTCAGTAACCCATGTGTCGTAAGAAGCGACTAACGGGATTGGGTGGTCAGGCTCGCTGACTTGGTTGACACATGTCATCGGTTCCCAGTTGTGCAGATCGATGCTCGTGCTGATGATCACTGGATTGTCTGGTCCAGACTCGATTATTTACTGACCGTTGCCATATAGCGGGAATATTGCTGAGTGCGGCGTAAAACTAAACTCACTCACTCACTCATTGTACCGATTTAGGTACAATATAATAAAATTGCAGTCACGTGTTATGTGAACGGAAGGATCTTGTGTCTCTGAGAAACAATTACCTGCGAACCACAGGCAAGAAGCGTTTCTTACGAATTCTCATTGAAAACTGTCCATGTTTTCGATTTCAGTAGGCTTTGAGTCGATCTCTTGCAGACTTTGTTGAAATGTTGGCCTCTTTCTTGTAATAAGTACTTCATTTTCCGTTCAGAAAGGCCTATAAGGGCTGCTGCTCGTTTACGGTATTTGAAAAAGTGAAAACAAGGTTTTTAATATCATAAACGTGAAACAATAGGGTTTTCGATTCATCTGTTAATTTCATCATGAACCGTACTGTAAAGACGGACTGACCTCATTCTTTATATTTTATCATCTGCATTTATAATGATCTGAATAGCAACACGAAGAACATTCCCAACGTTGCTTTGGGAATATTTTACAGATTATTTTTGTTCATTCCGTTCAATAACTAACACAGAAAGACGTCGACATTTTTTTTGACAGGCTTTTATTGCTAAAATACAGTAGTGGGTTGCAAAACACGTGCGATTTCCACGTGCGAATGGTGGGCTGATCAACACACACTGCATGCCCCTTGTTACAACATTCAGTAAAACATCAGCAGTTACCTTTTTCAAACAACCTTTCCTCTTCTTCAAGCAAATGTCTCAAATTATGGTGACGAGTTAGTATGGACAAATGAAAAACCTTCATTCGATTTAGGACGATGTGTTGTTTCGAATGCATATTTATTTGCCATTTCATCGGAACGATATTTGTAGCAAACAGACAGTTACTTTCTGATTAATAGTTCCTATATGTAAAGCTTATGTTTACAGTAGGACATATCTGAAAATCCCTATCAAAATGTGATTGGTGTAATTTCTCAACTTATGGTTTCTGTCCCATTTCACCACCACGATCCCGACTGCAAACATGTCCTAATGATTAGACGACTTCTACACACCCCAGGGGCTGATACGGCTTTATGAGAAAGGGGGTGCACACTATTGAGAAAAGGGTGTGTGCACACTTCATTTTCACCCGAGTTTCAATGGTCATTTAATAAACTTTCAGGGCAAAGGGACCTTCTTGGTCCGCCTATGCACCTGTGGCCACATTAACACGTGGTTGTGCACGATGTATATTTTACAATTAAACAGTGAATATATTATTGCTGATTCAGGTCAAAGGGGTTGTGATGTGTTCAGACGTATGGGGTACATATAGACAAACATGGCTGTAAACCGTCTGGTACTATGCGATGAATAGGACTATTCACTAAAACATAACATTCTTACGCGGCATCTAAAGTTACTTCAGTAAGATACGACATAAACATCGGTTATTGTTAAATGTCATTGTATTATAAAAGATTGTTACCCTCTTATGATATAACTTGTATTCCTAATATTTGATATTTATTTTAGAACCACACGAGTGTAAATAATAAAAAACGTAACACAACAACTTCTATATCAAGACTGAATGAGTTAATATGTATTTATATTTAAGTCAAGTCGGTTTCTATTTTTCGTTTGGTATAAGTTCATTGCAGTACGAACCAACGATGTTGAACCAAATGGTTACTTTGTACGGCAGAAGTTCAATGTGAGCTGAGTTCCGACTCCGAAGATCATCCAGAGAGCCGCATGGAGCTCTGGCCGGTGTAGAATGTGCAATGCGCATGACGTCATAGACATGTGACGTCACAATTGTGTTGGTCAGTCATAATCGTCTCAAAGTTGGAGGCGAGGGAGGTTCTTTGTCCTTCATGCCTCCAGTATGCCGTAAGAAAGGTAGGTTGACTCCCGATGGCATGGTTATGCTTGTTTACCTGGTCTGAATTCTCATTCTTATCAACACATTTGGTAACTAAGGTTTCTTTACTTTTTAACAAATTCAAATTTTACACATTTCATCGGGTTTGTTATCATACCTTGTCCATTACGGAAAACTTTGAACTATTACTATGGACATTGCTAGAAAAAGAAACTACCTCTTAGTTGATCTTATCATTAGTTTGAGTTTCAACTGAAATATCTAATTTAGCGACATATATGTGAACAAAAGCAATGTCCTGACACATAGTCACTTCTTTAAGGATACTTCTACTTGGTTTCAATCATTAAAATATAATTTGATTTGAACTTCCAAAATGATCTAGAGAAATAATTGGCGTAAATCTGCGTAATACTATAAGGTGGGTAATATTGAATTGATCTGTTTTTCGGCACAAACATATGACATTTCAAACACGATAGGGGTCATTTGGTTGCAATTCTCTCGGGCGCCTTAGATTCCTCGGCCAAATGGGCCCACACAACTGATGGAAAGTTACAGAGGGAGTCTAACATATATTCCGGACAAAACAGGGGTAGCCTAGTGGTTAAAACGTTCGCTTGTCACGCTGAGGAGCCGAGTTCGATTCTGGACATACATACAATGCATGTGTGATGTCCATTTCTGGTGTCCCCCGCCGTGATATTGCTGGAATATTGCTAAAAAGCGGCGTAAAACCACACTCACTCAAAAAACATGCGAGGTAAACATTCACAAATCATTTGAATTCCATAGGACGTTGGGGTAGCCTAGCAGTTAAAGTGTTTGCTAGCCATGCCGAAATATCAATATTTATGCTCTTTCAATGACATCAACAGGTTTTACATCATCGACGGACGGCTGCGGGCGCCCGCTAGAAAGAGACACCATGAAACCAGCTGCTGGGGAGAAGCCGTCAGGTACAAACTAATCGTGTGCTTATAATCTGAAACAGTTACCTGTACTTTACAAATGGCATTCATGCTGTGTTGGCGCCACTCTGAGGCGTTGTTTAACGCCGCAATCAGCAATAGTTCAGCTATATGGCGGCGGTCAGCTTCGTGTTAGCAGTCAGTACACAATCCTATTTGAGCCACACTGTTCGGATATGTCAGTTATCCTTCACACCAAGACACACAGTATCAGGTATCCCTTTAGGCTTCTTAAACTAATAGTAATGGTCGTTGTTTGATTTTTTAACGTCGAACTCAGCAATATTGCAGCTATTATGGCAGCGGTCTGTGCATGAATAATCAAATCTAGACCAATCCACTGATCTTGAAAGCGACATTAAACCCTGTTTCATCTGGTGTTAAGTTTGAATAAACTAGAATTTGAAAACTTTTATTGACTTTATTTGTGTAATATACATCCACAGACTACGTCAAGAAAGAGGACTCCGCGTCCGACGAGGATTCAAGATCAAGCAACATACAACATGGTCCACGCCCTCTGAATGAGTATGAAGGAACCGTCCCTAGCTTCTTCAAGGACCAGAAAGGTCAGTCCCAAATGGGAATCCTCGGTTCTGCAGATCCAAAACGCTGCCTAAAACTCCAGCTGAAATCAGTCAGAAGTGAGGCGGCATCCAGATGGAGAAAACACCTCCTAGCGAAGGTAGATGAAGATGTTTGTGCTGGTGCTGCTGAGTGCGGAGGAAACAGACTTGGGGAGCGTCGTGATACTGCACCTGTTCGGGGAACAGGGCTGGAGGAAGGGTCCAACAAAGATGGTCTGGACATCCGAGCGGAGGAGTACAAACTACAAGGAAACAATCTTCTTTTCTTCGATCTGTTTATGCGTCCTCTGGCGGATCTCAGGATAGGTTCTCGGAACCGAACTGCTAGACAAAGCCAGGTGGGTAAACTGCGTCATGATCGTATGGGACATGGATACGGTGTAAAACACTGGCTTGATCGGTATCAGCGTCAGTCTGATCACAATGAGGAGGGTCAAGAAGAGCCGAATCTCCATGGGGAACATCACAAAGGTGGCGCGGTCAGAATGTTTAAGGAAAAACAGGAACGACATATTAAGAAGCCTGCCTCAAAACACAGTCAAAATAGGCGACGCTCAAGCCGAAACGTCACAAAACTAGCTTGCCCTGAAAGCACTAGAGCACATGACACGGTTCGCAAAAAAGGCAAACGTGAAGTTCAAGGTCAATGGCAAGTTCAAGATAATGGAGAACCTGAAATGAAGTCCAGAACACAACAAACTCAAGACCATCATGGCACATGTACCGAGAACCAGGATTTGAAACGAGATCAAGGTCAAGGTCAAGGTCAGTGTCAAGAATGCACTTCACTACTTCTGCCAGACACTGCTTCACAAGACACTGGTTGGCATCCACTGAGAAGGACGAAGGCCTATCTGACCCTTCTGTCGCTCTCAAACATCTCTTTGGGAGAGTCCGAGCTGGCTGATATATCAGCCAGTGAGTCTAACGAGAGTCTAGAAGCGTACAAAGAACCAGCCAAGTCCAAACTCTCCTCACAAGAGACAAATCACGCTGCCGGAAGAAACAGTAGTGCGGTGTCTCGGAAAGAGGTGTTCCGTGCAGACACAGATCACGGTCATTCCGATGTGTGTTCTCCTGCCTCCAGGTCAGCACGTCACGGTGCAGTCCCTGCCTCCAAGTCAGACTCTACAGATGCCTCAGCAGAAAGTGCACTGTTTCCAGAACCGACTCCTGCAAGCATCTTCACCGGAAGGAATATCAATGGCTATGATTTTGGGAAGATCTTTTCAGGCGGTGCTTCTTCAGTGATCTTTAAAGTAAAAAAGGGAGGCACCACATATGCTGCCAAAGTTTTTAAACGCATTCACCCCTACGAGGAGAGGCTTCTGAAGATCTCTAAACGTGAGTACAAGATTATGAAGAAGTTAAAGCATCCGCACATCGTGAAGGTTTACGATTATTTTGTGTTCCGCCTTCATGGCGTTATCATCATGGAATACGTACAGACCTCGGAGCTCTGGAAATTCTTAGACAAATCTAACTGCGTCATGTCCCTGTCTGTCCTTAAGAATATTCTATGGGACATCCTCAGCGCCTTGAGGCACATCCACAAACATCGTATCTCCCATATGGATGTCAAGACGAATAACATCCTCGTCGACAGAAGAGGGTGTGCGAAGATCACAGACTTCGGAGGAGCGGTGAAATTTGGCAGATTCTTCTCAAAGCGCCACGCGGTGAACTTCTTCACGCCCGACTTTGCCCCTCCAGAGAAACAATGGCAGCGTGAGAGTGGAGATGTATGTGTGGTTCACTACAAGCGTTATGATATGTGGAGTGTCGGGGTGATGTTGTATCACATGTACACGGGGAGGCTCCCCTACGCGCTGCCAGAGGGAAAACTATACCTCCCTGCTAAACTGTTCACTGGGGTGGTGGACCTGCCGCCGGGGGTGAAGCAAGACGCGGAGTTTCTGTCGCTGGTGAGACAGTGCATGCAAGTAGATCCTCTGGATAGAATTACGGCCAAAGAGGCTATCGCACATCCGTTCTTTGATTCCGTGCGACACAAAGGACTCAAGAAATAAGAGCGTTTGGGTATATGTGTACATGCGTGTTTGCGTACGTGCGTATGCGTGCACGTGAGTGTGAGTGAGTGTGAATGAGTGAGTTAGTGTGCGTTGGAGCATGTGGTGAGAACTCATTGGAGAAAAGCCTGTCGATGAACGTCTACGTAATGCCCCATTTAACGTGAAATATTGCAGATAAATTCATTTGTAATTTTGTAAAAAAAAGTTATGTCATGTCAGTGAATCAGAGGTAGTTTTACACTGTTCACACTTGTCAATCCATTGATTTTGTTCAAAATGTTGATTGTTTACTTGTTCATTCTTTGGATGTATCAGAAATGTCCAATGTCTATGATGGAACTTGGTACGTTCTTGTCGTACTTGTTTGTTTTCTAATTTAGATTTTATAGCAGTTTTGTAATGCTTGAGAATTATGAATATATATATTGCCGGCTAAGATATTATACCATAAAACTAGTTTGTGTTATTTTGTAAATATAAAAATATGTAACTGCTGTTTTGCTGTGGAACCATCGCAAATTAGAAACCCAGGGCGATATAATGACGTTAGTGAGTGAGTATACTTTTACGATACAAGACACCAGACATGTTGGTTTGTTGTTTAACGCTGCACTCAGCAATATTCCAGCTATACATGACGTCGGTCTGTAAACAATCGAGTCTTGACCAGACAATCCAGTGATCAACAACATGAACATCGATCTAAGCAATTGGGATACGATAACATTTGTCATCCAAGTCAGCGAGCCTGACCATGCACCAGATTCAGTTAGTCACCTCTTACGACAGGCATGCGTCACTGAAGACCGACATTTGTCACCACTCGCCCCTTTCCGTATCCTCGGCCTATCCCGGAATAACACGAGTTGGTCACGAATGTGAAGCCCGATTCAAACCTGGATCTTCACGGGGGTCACCAGAAATGGGACAAACAATACTGCATAGAGAAACAAGGTTAAAATGTACAAACTATTATCCACTGTAAGGGCATGAAGGACGGGTAAGGCGCTGCCAAATTACATATATTAGTCGAGGCAAAACTTTGTGATTACGACTATCGTAGAGCTAAGAGAGCTTCGAAAATCTGGATCACAAAGATTTCGTTTATTTGCAATATTCCAGCTTTGCGATGGCGGTTTATAAAAAGAAATAGAGTATACACCAGAAAAATACAGTGACTGACATCATGTGATGTGGCAACAGGGATAGTAAATTTATTTGTTGTGATTGTCAGTGACAGAAAATGACTGAAACCCTCGTAAAATGTTTAGTGCTGGTGTGGTGAGAATTATCTCCCTTGGTTGTTGCTGCGTGGCCTTACGGTCAGATGGATTGTCTGTTCTTGTTCTAATCAACAACACACATTCAGCAGTCACTGTCCTCCCCAACCCCACTATCTTGTTCTGTTTTACCTAGAACAATTTTGGATGATCTCCCTTCAACTACCTACTCTGATAATCAGTTAAAGTTCTTTGACCTCCCTGCAGCACAGGCCCTCGTCACGGTGATCGATGCATGGGATACGCCCCTAACGATTAAAGATATAAGGGGCGTATCCCTTGCATTGAGATGACCCTCGACTCAAAGATTAAAGATACAAAGTATATATATTTTGAGATGCTTCACATTTCGAGTCGGGGGTCATCTCAAAAGTTTTATGTGTTTTTAACATCTTTAATCCCCGCAAAGACACGAGGGCTCTGTGCTGTGCAGTAGGGATTCTTGGTTAGGGACCGTTCATAATCTATTGCTGGGTGGTTTAGTGTGTGTGTGTTGTGTGTCTGGTGAGGAGGGGGACGAGGAGATGATGATTTTAAGGGGTTGTTCACCCATTTTGTTCTGGGAGGTAGGTGGGTCATCAATTTTGTACACGTTTCTAGGGGGTGGGGTGGGGTCAGCAATTTTGTACATATAAATATATTTAAAAATTATGCTTAAAAATATTGGAAGGGGTGGGGGTCCATTGATTTTGTACATGACATGCAGGGGCAGCACTTGCTTTGTACATAAATATAAGGGGTGTATTAGGTCATTCATCATGTACCCCTTCTCCATAAACCCGACCCTCTCTTGGCCATAAATTATGAACGGTCCCTTAGAATGGATTTGAAGCAAGAGAAGACACTACTGGATCAGTTGATCAGTGACTTGGATGATTCTGTCACTCTGACCAAGTGATTGTCTGGTTCAGACTTCATTATGTAGCTGTTCTAGGTTGCCATCCTGTAGCTGGAATATTGCAGGGTGCATCCTTCAAACCTGAGGGAGTTTGGTTTTACGCCACTTTTGGCAATATTCCAGCAATATCACGGCAGGGGACACCAGAAAAGTCCTCACATACTGTACCCATGTGGGGACTCGAACCACTGGGCTACCCAACCCGCCCTCATCCTTCAAATGAGTTGGATTGGTTACCGTGTTTGAGAGCTTCACTCTGGAGAGTTCCTAAGTCTTGGTTCTGGTCTGGCATCAAAACACATGTACTTGATGGTAAGAAAGTAATTATGTGAAGTATGCCTGTGTTCACACAGCACTATTTGGGTCCTTGGTGGTATGAGATTGTAATGAGACTATTCACCTTCAGTCACCTCAAACCAGCCTTTTGAATCTTTCCCAGGGAGTTCAGAATGAAGATTCCACACTGACCCACTGACCTGGGTAACAACTTCAGCACTTTTGATCATACTTATGGACACATTTAGAGCTCTACATTATTAATTTCATCATATTTAACAACACAAAACAGAAAATGATAACAAATTCAATTAGTCATTGAACACATTTATTCATTGTGTACATAGTCATTTATTCATAAGTCAACATGATATAATTATATTTAGAAGAAAAGTCTAGACAGAATAAAGGTTTTATTTCTCTGTATCCCCTAGTGGGGATCAAATTAAGTTTATAACAAAAAGTAACTTCCAAAATTTCTTTCATGAGATTTGAATTAAGTATTTTGAGTGAATCCAGTTATTGTTCGTTGTCACACAATGACAAAAATGATATTGGATATTCAGTCTGTGCAGAGAATATGTGAATAGTGATATATAGGAAAGAAATATATTACAGGATAGAAATATATTGTAGGAAAGTTAATTATCCAAGAATATCTACCTGAGATGTGATTATATCATTTTTATCATGACTTATTAAATGAGTATTTAAAAGGTAAAAAGAACTTCTATCAGATGCCACTAAATTCTTTCCTACAGCGGGTATGGAGAATGCAATTTAAAATTTACTATCTTGGGTCTTGCTACAAAGAAGAGAAGGGATTAAGTCATTTCAGGTACTGCTTCATCAGTTGCTCTCCTTGGTATCGGGTCTTTCTTCTGAATCTAGCCCATGAATAGGGCAGATAACTCTAAGTAACATATACTCACAGGCAAAAGTTATTGTGACATAGAATATTTTCTTGCGAATGAATATTTATATTTGAACCAGAAAAAGAGCGTGTTAAAACAGTCAAAGAAATGCAATCAAGCAATTGCTCAATTTCCATGAAAATTGGAAGCACTGTTTACTTGAAAAGGTCAGAAAACCAGAGGCTTATCATTTCCACTCAACACAGTCTTGAGAAGTAGGAAAAACACCTCAATTCATTTTGTAAGAAGTTCGACATGCCATGCAGTGCATCAGCGAGAACAGTTTGACAGTGTCTACGCATTTACAGCATCTGAGCAAGAAGCCCACACGAAGCACCATTCTTACACCAGAACATGGGCGACTGGAGTTTGTGTGAAGAAGAGTTCTCTTCACAGACAAGTCAAATTTCCTACACCGGCTCACAGGATCCCATGATTTGTCACCCACTGAACAAGTATGGATGAAATGGAGCAATGTTTCCGATGTCATCCAAATCCTCCAACAAAGCTGTTGGAACACCACCAACTCCTTCCTCTGATATGGATCTTCTCCCAGGACTTTTAGTGGCCTCAGTGAGGTGAAGGTGCCAAACCTGCATCAATGCATAAGGTGGACACACTGGCTACTGACTGTGTGAGCTTGCCTTGAACCCTCTCTGTATGCCAAGAGGGCTGTTCATTACCGTATTTGTCTTCTGAAGTAAAGACATTTCATTTGTGGCAGTAACAGTTTAACACTGATTCAGTGTGTTGTTTGTCTGTCACAATAACTGTTGCCTTTGGGTGCACTCAGACCCTTTATCATAATTATATCAAGAACCCTCCTTAGATCTTCAAAACAGAAAGGAAAGAAGTTTGAAAGAAAACCCTATTACTTTTAATTTGAAATAATTCTTCACCAGAAAATAGAAAAAGGAATTTCTTAAAACCTAGAGCTTAAAACTAGGGGTTGAGTTTCTATTAAATATTAAAAACCTACAAAGTAATTATATTATGTCAATTAGGTGTCAGAGTAACTCTGTTTAATATCCCAGTGTGTATTCCGGACAACCTTGTTAGTGTATCTTAAGGTGGATCTTTGTTGTTAAAGAAAACAGAAGTGATATCTTGATTCAAGTTACAAGCAGTAATTGACCATATACGGACGGACAATACTCCACAAAATCAAGCTGGTAAAGCAAGTGATATTCATATGAATATTTCTCGATGAAATGTCAATCTACTGAAGCACTATCATTCTACTATATTCAGCACTATCTACCACATTCACACAGTGTCCATACCTTGCAGCTTTAAAAGAAATCCTCAAAGAACAAAAACACGAAAAGTACCAAAAATACCCCAAACAAAGCTGAAAAGATAATTTAACAATACTGAATATGTTATTTTGATTATCATATCCTTAGACTGTATTGTAATCATACCTGTAGAGCAGTAATTCCATATCAGGAATATATCATGTTGGACTAAATGACAGTGATTGGTTGTCATGGAAATAGATTGGCCAATCACAGCCATTCCCTGATCAGTGACTGAGTAAGGTCTTACTCTGGTTTCAGCAATATTCCACCTATATTACTGCCTTGGTTAGATCTGCTAAGATCTTAGTAACTGCTATCATACAGATTTTTAATGCTTTTTCATTTATTTTATTTTCATTTATTTTCTATGCGATGTTCAAAAGACAACCATTATCAGGTAATACAATATTTTTGTTTCTAATATAAATTTCAGCACCACTGTCTGCTTATAAAAATATCATTTTCCAGAAATCGTATCCTGTATTTATTACTCAATGAAATACCTTTGTAATGGTTTACAAAATCACATACTGAAACAGACACCAAACTTTATTATCTAACTGAATGTTTTCTAATGGCAAGAAACGCAAATTGTGCGTGTGGCACGTGGGGCAGGACACCCTGGATGATATTCTAACAGTCCAAAAGCAATAGATATTTGACTCCCCCCCCAATACCTGATTCTTTGTACTACTGACATGACTCCATCCTTCCCACCATCTGGTGTTATTGTGTTCATGTTCTTTAAGTAGGTGTCAGGGGTATGTTTATCATAATTATCATAATTATCATATCTATCATTTTACCTTATCTCACCTAATTTTTGTAAAATATCTATCTTGAAAGCGGAAAGGACATGGCTGTCTGCTGTAACTCTTGTCAGACAAAGGACAGAGGACCATCATTACATACTAACGTATATCCCAGACACCATGGATATTGGACTGCACTTGGCGCTAAAACGGTAAATCACTGTAACTCATCAGACAGAGGACCTTCATGACAAACTAGGCATACTAATGTATCCCAGACACTATTCCAGTCACCATGGATATTGGACTGCACTTGGCGCTAAAACGGTAAATCACTGTAACTCTTGTCAGGCAGACGACTGTCATGACAAACTAGGCATACTAATGTATATCCCACACGCTACTCCAATCACCATGGATATCTGCAGGTGGCGCTAAAACGGTAAATCACTGCAAGTAAGCTAACAAAACGTTATTCTCCACTTGGTTCTATATTAATGTAGTGTAGAACATACACACTTGCTTACCGGTATCATCACTATTTGATAGTGGACAGAAATTCATACATACGGTATATTCAGAATTGTACAATGAACTCTGCTTTCAGAGGAGATCCTATGATTCATATATAATTTTATTGTTTTGTTTTTACTGGTTGTGGTATTCTGATAAATATTTTCAACACAATGGAATTTTAAGGAAGACTAGTTTTGAGTTAATTGGCAGTCCACACAAACTGTATTCTGTTAATTGCACCACTACTCTCTATGTCTGCCAACTGAAATTTTCCAATGTGTATCAATCTTGACCTTGGCAGACAATTGGCACCAGAGAGTAAAAACCTTTAAAACAGCTACTTCATGGGAGTTTTACATTGTCCATAACTGTTGCATTGCTCTCTATGAACATCATCCAAACGCTTACTCTGCAAGTCATGCTTGAGTTTTTGAGCCAATCTGCTGCTCAATGCTCAGTTATGTTAATACATAATACTAGTTTCAGGTGAGTAGTTTATGTATAAGCTGTAAGTAACATTGTACATCGTTATTTACCTTGAACCCTAATATACCTCTTGCTGTGGATCTACAATAACGCAAAGCTGTATAAATGTTACTCAATGAAATTTTTGTTTGGGGAATGTGAATTAAAACAGACTATTGTTTTACCACATTCATGTTAAGTGATTAAAAAAATGAATAATAACCGTGACGAGTTATGCCACAGGAATCTACCTATAAAGAGTGACTTGAATGAGAAATAAAAATCTCGTATCGTTTCGCTAAACTGACTTAAGGTGGGACCTCACAAGAAATCTCTAATGCTACAGATGATCAGTGATCACATCTGTTACCATGGTTACTGTAATTTATTAAACTGAAACAAATGTTCATTCATACATCCACACTGTGACTAGGTTCCCATTCCAGCATCTTCAGACTATTCACGATATGTACACTCAAAAAAGCACATTGTAGCTTGCACCATAGAAAACTTCGGTTCGCATAAATTCTCGAAAACAAGATTTAAAAAATTCAAATAAACAAAACAACTGAGTGCTATGTACAACTGTGTAATACATATATACATCTTTCACATGTGTCATGCAATCTCAACATATGGAATGCTATCACACTGGCAAAAATGAAAATATATGGCAAATCATATATACATATGCTATATTGAAATTATGAACACAACTTGACAATCATGAAATCAACAATAGCCGAAGGGGTTAATTAATAACATCTTTGGACAGCAATACAACATATTTCACAACAAAACAAAGAGTATTCAGATATTGTGGTATTGTGATGAGATATACTGAAGAAATATAGTTAGGGAGCATGGAATACTTTTCCATGTGAAATAAAATTTCATTCAACATCTTTAAAACTGTTCACATTATAACAAAACTATTTATGATCCCTAACTTGATTTGTTCAGTATACTTGCTAATGAAGAGAAGCGGCTGAACTCTGTGGCATTTAACTTCTAATGGGAAGGGATTCAAAGCCAAGACCTCAGACATGTTGCACAAAGCAGCTGCAGTGCAAGATGGAGTGGAACTCGATACACTCAGAGCGTTGACAGGTAGATTTTGACTCAAGTACCAGTCTTACAACCTGCTTTTGATAACCCAATTTTAACAGTCAAAATGATTCTAGGAACAGTATTATTTTCGTTTTATCTTCCCTGATGTGAGTTGTCTCCCCTGTTCGACCAAAACTTGTGCGAGCCATCTGCCAAAGCTCTACACAGAAATATTTATAGTTCTTTGGGAGTCTGTGAGAGTCCAGGGCCATGTTCCTTTCCAGGCCCTGTCACTACAATCCTCATCAGTCAAGGTTCAAACAATAGTGTTTGGGTCCAAAATATATACATTGAATGATTTAATACAAGGTTTAATGCTCTAATCAGTGTTTGGGGTGAGATAGCTAAAAGCCCTTTCTGAAACTATGACCCTGGTTATGGTGTTGACTACTGGCCCAAGGATCATAATCACGGCACATTTGGAACCTCTGATCCTGGGTATGGTGTTGACTACTGGCCCAAGGATCATAATCACGGCACATTTGGAACCTCTGATCCTGGGTATGATGTTGACTGCTGGCCCAAGGATCATAATCACGGCACATTTGGAACCTCTGATCCTGGGTATGATGTTGACTGCTGGCCCAAGGATCATAATCACGGCACATTTGGAACCTCTGATCCTGGGTATGATGTTGACTACTGGCCCAAGGATCATAATCACGGCACATTTGGAACCTCTGATCCTGGGTATGATGTTGACTGCTGGCCCAAGGATCATAATCACGGCACATTGGGAACCTCTGATCCTGGGTATGATGTTGACTGCTGGCCCAAGGATCATAATCACGGCACATTTGGAACCTCTGATCCTGGGTATGATGCTGACTACTGGCCCAAGGACCATAATCACGGCACATTGGGAACCTCTGATCCTGGGTATGATGCTGACTACTGGCCCAAGGACCATAATCACGGCACATTTGGAACCTCTGATCCTGGGTATGATGCTGACTACTGGCCCAAGGATCATAATCACGGCACATTGGGAACCTCTGATCCTGACACAGGCAAAGAACACAACTCTGTACAGTACAGTGGTTTGGATCCCTGGAGTCAGTATGGTTTTACGCCGCTTTTAGCAATATTCCAGCAATATCATGGCAGGGGATCCCTGGAAACCAAAGCACCTTGGACTTCCACAAATAAATCATCTAAACTGGCTCAAGCTTGATTTTGCAGATTGACAAAGTATGTACAGCTTAATTTTTAATGAACTACACAAAACCAGTAAATCATGTTTGAATGATGAATATATGATGATAAATTACATAAATTAGTTGTTGATTATCTGATTGGTGAGAGAACCAACAATGTGGCATTGACCAAACAATGAGAGTGGCTTTAAGCTGAGAGATCAATACTGCATGTGTATAAGTATAGACAGACAACACCATCATACACATATCTCCTTGATAAAATGCCTGGCCTCGAACAACACCAGGGTCTTCAGAGGCAGACCTCGAGCCTTTTAAGTCTTGTAGCTTTTGCATGTGAATTTCCTCAATTATTATATTCACAATTAAATACCATGGGTAAATTGTTTCTAAAACAAATATACATACAGTTAATTAACTTAAAGCCTGATTGAAATAAACTCAGCATCTCTTATTGAGATTATGACAGCAAACTAAAATATCCCCTTTCTATTTTCAACACACATCACTATTCATCTTCATTATATCAATTCAAATGAGAAAAGAAATTGAGAGTTTCACAATGCCCTTGAAAAATATTATAACATTCATTTGGTTTTGGTGTAGTTTTTTTTATAAGTAGGTGATAAATTCAATCATTGTATTTACAATGAGAGTGGATAATTCGCCCAAAATATATCATTGTATCGGTCTTGTTTGGTTTTAGTTTTAAAGAAGTGATGATATTCCACAAACCAGTTGACACAAGTGATATGCCAATTGATTGTTCCTTTTGAGTCCCCACTAAACATCCATGCCAGCAATGACGTATAATCTATCTTTTTGAACCAAAAAATTATGTAAGCAAGATCTTCTTTACAAATGCTGCGTGTGATCTTCCTGGTACTTCTGACATCAATACATAAACCTGTAAAAATCTGATAATTGGTCATTTGGATGAATGTCATGACGAATGGTTTTGATTTTAAATCACAACCCTATATGACTATAAATAGACATTTCATTGCTGGATGCTCTAATGGCAGTGTGGGGTGTGTTCATGACCTGGTCAAATATCAGTGATACTTGTTGGAATGTCTTTGTCAGAAACTATGACACACCCTGATGTGTCATAATAAAGCTTTACGTCTGTTACCTTTGGTGTCTTCACAAGAAACCTTGAGTGAGTGAGTGAGTTGGTTTTATGCTGCTATAAACAATATAACGGCAATATCATGGCAGGGACATCAGGGTGAGTGAGTGAGTTGGTTTTATGTTGCTTTCAGCAATAGTCCAGGATTATCATGGCAGGGACATCAGGGTGAGTGAGTAAGTTAGTTTTATGTTGCTTTCAGCAATAATCCAGCAATATCATGGCAGGAGACACTAGAAAGAGGCATTAAACATTGCAACCATGAGGTAAATCGAACATGGACTCAAGGCATGACAAGCAAACACATTAACAATTTGGCTACCCTACTGATCCTTCTAAGCCTTGAGACTGGAGTAACTCTTCTATCCCAGTAGACAAGCAATGAACAATCACACCAAGAGTGAGTGAGTGGATTTGACACCACTTTTAGCATTATTCCAGCAGGTGACACCAGAAATGAGTTTCCAGATTGTACAGTAGAAGAATCTGATCTGGGAATTTCAAAATCAAGCTGAGTGAATTTAGTTTTATGCCCCTTTTAACAATCCTCCAGCAATATCACGGTGTGGACACCAGAAGTGGGCTTCACACATTCTACCCATGTGGGGAATAGAACCTTGTCTTCGATGTGATGAGCGAACAGTTTAACCACTTGACTACCCCATCGCCCTTGAATAACTAATATCTATCACTCTTACATCTAAATGTTTAAATCCAAGACTAAATTTTGCAAAATGCAAATGTCATCAATAAATATGGATCATATCGAAAAAATCTCTTCCTGAGTCATTTTTGGTTTAAATATGTAGGAAATGTATTTTCTATATTTCAATGTTGCCATGTTACAGGCTGGATTTTCAGATGTAAATTGTAAAGTTCCCTGATTGGCTGTGAAACAGACAGATGTCTAATTTTGAAACAGATAAATATGAAATAAAAAGAGAAAAGTTTACAATGTTTCCTTTTGTTTGGGTTTTATAAGGAATAAGAAACCAAATTTATGTTCAAACTTAATCGGTTTTCCTTCTTGGTGTTCAGACATTGTTTCATAGGTTCTATGAAATACAAACATACTGAAACTTGTCACTTCAACATAACAACAAATTCAAGCCCAGCAAAACAAAAATCGGTAAACTGTGGTACCAATTTTGATAATGCCATTTTGTAAGTAATCACAGGTAAGGTTTTAACTGAACAAATCATCATATGAGAATGAGGTAAACAACAGCTAGAGCATGCATGTTGACATTCATAAAAAAACCTGCTTTGAAACAAATGACAACTGAACTGAAGACATCGTTCATGGAAACACATTTGATATGCTGGTCCTACATCAATAGCTGTGGATGGGAGTGTCACTTCAGATCCAGAGATCCTAAGGGAAATAACCCTATAAGCCTAAATGCTGGATTCGAGCACCAGAGGGAGCCTCCATCACTGAAGAGTTCAACAAGGGACATCAGTGTGTTAGGGCTGGCTGATGGCGGGCATCAATCATGTCTGGAAAGAGGGATTAAATCAATCAAGCTCTATCAATCATTCCTTGTGTGTGTGATTACTAAATGTTTGTCATTTAAGGTATGTGGTTTTAAATTTAAAGTCAACTTAGGCAGTTTACAGCATCAAAGCGATGATTAATTGATGATTATGAGTGAGCTAATATCTAACATCACATCGGCAATATTTCAGCCATAACGTGAAGAAATGATGATTATAACGATTGTTAACACTAAACAAACAAGATAAACACCTATCACTATGATCATAAGAAATGTCTATTGAAAAAAGAGTCCATTACAATAATGATTATTTCCAAAGCCCTTGCTTATATATTGTTATTTCCACCATTCATGCAAAACGTGCTTTCTGTTAGTGGTCAGCATTCTGTTTAAACACTGTGTAACTTCCCTTTGTATGAGACTCCTCGCAGGATGTTACCCCAGATTTTGCTGTACTTCACATGACAACATAAAGACAGGAAAAAAACAAGCTTGTCCTATATATTTAATTATCCAGAACATCAGACAAGAAGGCCACATTTACACACCAATAAACCCTACCAGGAAATGGTGATAACACCAGGTGTTCACGAATGTGGCCCTGAACCAACCACACATGTACGAACCTGCAATGATTCTATGCCATGGTAGGGTGATGTATGTTAGGTAAGCGTTGAGGGCGACACTGCTCGCTCGCTTCTGTTCCTTGAACCAGTGCCAGGCCTGACCAAAGGACTTGCCCCAGAAGCCATTGTACTGATCCAAGTTTGTGTTTAATTCTGCAAGAAACACGGAAATCATAGTGAGCAGAGGATATAATCTTAGAACTGCCAGGTGTTACGACTAGCACTTGACGTGTGGATCAATTCTCTCTTTAGGAGGGAAACAAGTGAGTGAGAGAGAAAGTGGAGGAGTGAGCTTTGGACAAAGTGTTACTACCCGGGCCCCGTTCCTCAAAGCGATCGTAGCGCTACAACAGTCGTAAGACTATGTTAAAGTATGGGAGTTACGATCACCTTAGCGCTACGATCGCTTTGAGGAATGGGGCCCAGATCAGCTCTTAAAGTCTTATGAATCGCTATGTTGAGAACAGGTAACAAGAGTTTCCTTGTATAGATCTTATATAAAATAATCAAAAGATACAAGTGCAGTTACTCAGACAAAGTTGGTCTATTATATCAAATGTTCAGCATGACAGAAGTAAAATACACCTATCCACTACCCAGTAAATGAATCGATATTAGCTACCCACTTGTAAGTACATGAAGCAAGTGAAGCAATGTTGTCTACCAACTATCCATCAAGTGAAGCAATGTTGTCTACCAACTATCAAGTGCAACTATCCATCAAGTGAAGCAATGTTGTCTACCAGCTATCCATCAAGTGAAGCAATGTTGTCTACCAACTATCCATCAAGTGAAGCAATGTTGTCTACCAACTATCCATCAAGTGAAGCAATGTTGTCTACCAACTATCCATCAAGTGAAGCAGTGTTGTCTACCAACTATCCATCAAGTGAAGCAATGTTGTCTACCAACTATCCATCAAGTGAAGCAATGTTGTCTACCAACTATCCATCAGCAACTATCCATCAAGTGAAGCAATGTTGTCTACCAACTATCCATCAAGTGAAGCAATGTTGTCTACCAACTATCCATCAAGTGAAGCAATGTTGTCTACCAACTATCCATCAAGTGAAGCAATGTTGTCTACCAACTATCCATCAAGTGAAGCAATGTTGTCTACCAACTATCCATCAAGTGAAGCAATGTTGTCTACCAACTATCCATCAAGTGAAGCAATGTTGTCTACCAACTATCCATCCATCAAGTGAAGCAATGTTGTCTACCAACTATCCATCAAAGTGAAGCAATGTTGTCTACCAACTATCCATCAAGTGAAGCAATGTTGTCTACCAACTATCCATCAGTGAAGCAATGTTGTCTACCAACTATCCATCAAGTGAAGCAATGTTGTCTACCAACTATCCATCCAAGTGAAGCAATGTTGTCTACCAACTATCCATCAAGTGAAGCAATGTTGTCTACCAACTATCCATCAAGTGAAGCAATGTTGGCCTACCCTCTTGTAGTGTACCTGCCTCCACTTCATGGCATCCGTCGTCAGCGACAGTTTCAACGTTTTCTGTTTCTGACTGTGACTTTTTCATGCCCACTGCTCGTCGAAACCCGCCGCGCATCAGCGAGCTGAATCCTGAGCTGGGGTCACTCATCCTCCTCTGTGCATACTGGTTTTGCTGGACAACACAACACAACAACCTTTACTACACATTACAAGGCTAGCCACTAGGCTACCCCACTGCTCCTATGAGTATGAAGATCTGGGTTAGAATCGGTCTTCAGTAACCCATGATGTCGTAAGAGGCGACTAATGGGATGGGGTGGTCAGGCTCGCTGACCTGGTTGACACATGTCATTGCATCCCAATTGGGTAGATCGATGCTCATGCTGTCTATCACTAGATTGTCTGGTCCAGACTGGATTATTTACAGACCGCCACCATATAGAGTGTGGCGTAAAACTAAACTCACTATGAGTATGAGAAGAAAGACTTTCCTTTAAGGGATAGAATAAGCCTTACATTTAACATGTTGTTTAGTCTATGAACATTAAGTATCAAGGTAAGCTAAAAGGTGAGCTAAAAGTGGACAAAATCTCACCTGATCATCAAAATCATCTACAGGAAAGTTTTCCATATCGGGTGTTTCTGGACCTGACCCTTTGACCCGACTCACTGCCATCTCGGCGTGACCTTTGCCTTGTGGACCCCTCATCCGCATGTACTCCACACGCTTGTGACCTTTGAACCATCCTAATGACATTCGCTGGACCATCTTTGATGTCAAACTTATCTGAAATGACAGTCATGAACATTATTGACCCATGCATCGTACACACTCTTCAATACCAAGACCACCTACACCTGCTGAATACCAAGATCATCTACCCGTGCATCCTACACCCTGTTGAGTAACAACACCATCTACCCGTGCATCATACACCCTGTTGAGTACCAACACCACCTACCCATGCATCGTACACCCTGTTGAGTAACAACACCATCTACCCGTGCATCATACACCCTGTTGAGTAACAAGACCACCTACCCGTGCATCGTACACCCTGTGGAGTACCAAGACCACCTACCCGCATCGTACACCCTGTTGAGTAACAAGACCACCTACCCGCGCATCGTACACCCTGTTGAGTAACAAGACCACCTACCCGTGCATCATACACCCTGTGGAGTACCAAGACCATCTACCCGTGCATCATACACCCTGTGGAGTAACAAGACCACCTACCCGTGCTTCATACACCCTGTTGAGTACCAAGACTATCTGCCCAAGCATCGTACATCCTGTTGAGTACCAAGACCACCTACCCGTGCTTCATACACCCTGTTGAGTACCAAGACCACCTACCCGTGCTTCATACACCCTGTTGAGTACCAAGACCACCTACCCGTGCATCGTACACCCTGTGGAGTACCAAGACCACCTACCCGTGCATCGTACTCCCTGTTGAGTAACAACACCACCTACCCGTGCATCGTGACACCCTGTTGAGTAACAACACCACCTACCCACATGCATCGCATTACACCCTGTGGAGTACCAAGACCACCTACCCGCATCGCATTACACCATGTTGAGTAACAACACCATCTACCCGTGCATAGTACACCCTCTTGAGTAACAACACCACCTACCCGTGCATCGTACACCCTCTTGAGTAACACCACCACCTACCCGTGCATCGTACACCCTGTTGAGTATCAAGACCACCTACCCGTGCATCGTACACCCTGTTGAGTAACAACACCACCTACCCGTGCACCGTACACCCTGTTGAGTAACAAGACCACCTACCTGTGCATCGTACACCGTGTTGAGTACCAACACCACCTACCCATGCATCGTACACCCTGTTGAGTAACAAGACCACCTACCTGTGCATCATACACCCTGTTGAGTAACAAGACCACCTACCCATGCATCGTACACAGTGTTGAGTACCAACACCACCTACCCGTGCATCCTACACCCTGTTGAGTAACAACACCACTTACCCATACATCGTACACCCTGTTGAGTAACAAGACCACCTACCCGTGCATCGTACACCCTGTGGAGTACCAACACCACCTACCCGTGCATCGCATACACCCTCTTGAGTAACAAGACCACCTACCCGTGCATCATACACCCTGTTGAGTAACAAGACCACCTACCCGTGCATCATACACCCTGTTGAGTAACAAGACCACCTACCCGTGCATCATACACCCTGTTGAGTAACAACACCACCTACCCATGGATCGTACACCCTGTTGAGTAACAAGACCACCTACCCGTGCATTGTACACCCTGTTGAGTAACAACACCACCTACCCATGCATCGTACACCCTGTTGAGTAACAAGACCACCTACCCGTGCATCGTACACCCTGTTGAGTAACAAGACCACCTACCCGTGCATCGTACACCCTGTTGAGTAACAAGACCACCTACCGTGCATCGTATTACACCCTGTGGAGTAACAAGACCACCTACCCTGCATCGCATACACCCTGTTGAGTAACAAGACCACCTACCCATGCATTGTACACCCTGTTGAGTAACAAGATCACCTACCCATGCATCGTACACCCTGTTGAGTAACAAGATCACCTACCCGTGCATCGTACACCCTGTTGAGTAACAACACCACCTACCCGTGCATCGTACACCCTGTTGAGTAACAACACCACCTACCCAGGCATCGTACACCCTGTGGAGTACCAAGAACACCTACCCGTGCATCGTACACCCTGTTGAGTAACAACACCACCTACCCATGCATCGTACACCCTGTGGAGTACCAAGAACACCTACCCATGCATCGTACACCCTGTGGAGTACCAACACCACCTACCCGTGCATCGTACACCCTGTTGAGTGACAAGACCACCTACCTGTGCATCGTACACCCTGTGGAGTAACAACACCACCTACCTGTGCATCATACACCCTGTGGAGTAACAACACCATCTACCTGTTCATCGTACACCCTGCTGAGTAACAAGACCACCTACCCGTGCATCGTACACCCTGTTGAGTAACAACACCACCTACCCATGCATCGTACACCCTGTTGAGTATCAAGACCACCTACCCGTGCATCATCGCACACCCTGTTGAGTAACAACACCACCTACCCGCATCGCATTAACCCTGTTGAGTAACAACACCACCTACCCAGGCATCGTACACCCTGTTGAGTATCAAGACCACCTACCCGTGCATCGTACACCCTGTTGAGTAACAGGACCACCTACCCGTGCATCGTACACCCTGTTGAGTAACAACACCACCTACCGCATCGCAACACCCATGCATCGTACACCCTGTTGAGTAACAAGACCACCTACCCATGCATCATACACCCTGTTGAGTAACAACACCACCTACCCCACCTACCCTGTTGAGTGCATCGCATCGTACACCCTGTTGAGTAACAACACCAACAAGACCACCTACCTGTGCATCATACACCCTGTTGAGTAACAAGACCACCTACCCATGGATCGTACACAGTGTTGAGTACCAACACCACCTACCCGTGCATCCTACACCCTGTTGAGTAACAACACCACTTACCCATGCATCGTACACCCTCTTGAGTAACAAGACCACCTACCTGTGCATCGTACACCCTGTTGAGTAACAAGACCACCTACCCATGCATCGTACACCCTGTTGAGTAACAACACCACCTACCCGTGCATCGTACACCCTGTTGAGTAACAACACTACCTACCCATGCTTCATACACCCTGTTGAGTAACAAGACTACTTACCCGTGCATCGTACACCGTGTTGAGTACCAAGACCACCTACCCATGCTTCATACACCCTGTTGAGCAACAAGACCACCTACCCGTGCATCGTACACCCTCTTGAGTGATTCATACTTGACAGAGCCCTGGAATATAAGTCCCTGGAAGGACCCGTCCTTGTCCGTTGCCAGCAACTCCACAGCAATGTTCTCACTGTCCCGAATAATGATGTCTTGGAAGGCCTGATACACAAAACAAACTTGGTTTGAATGGGATGATATTTCACAATTTATTATAAAAATTGTTGAAACTTTCACTGAATCAATAAGTGAGCAAGTGACTGAGAGAATTCTGCATAAAGGGAGGTAACTCTGCCGAACACTACAAGTGAACACTGACTGACTGACTGACTGGGTATGGTTTTACGCCTTTTAGCAATCTTCCAGCAATATCACGGCGGGGGACACCAGAAATGGGCTTCACACATTGTACCCATGTGGGGATTCGAACCTGAGCCTTAGGATGACGAGCGAAACAAGTGAACACACCAAAGAGGCATCAATATACATGTTGAGAATATGAGACTATATAGTGGGTATAATAAAAAATGTACTGTTTTCTGAATGCTATTTTAGAATCAGATGTTGTATATTACTGTACGTGTTGTATTTTATGTTCGCGGAGATGATTTCCTTCAAGTGTTTGTTACAGCACATAGGACCAGGCTGACTTGTAAGCATCATGAAATGCAGACAAATATATTTAAACCAAACAGTTTAGCAATATGACAGCCAGAGCTACAGATAACTGTTTGGGTCAATGAGTTATATACTCGCTTGTGTTCATCAGTTGGGTATCCTAATTTTCCTTTGAATAACCAAATAAATTGTACTCTACTCACTACAAACTCTCATTTGGGTATTTTGCCATTTTCCATTAATTTTAAAAATATAATAAAGTTTCAATGTTAGTGTTTGTAATTCATATTTCATCTGTAATATGAGAAATGGTAAGAAAGACTGCAAGTTGTCAAGTTCATGTCCTGAAATAGAACCTCTCAGTATACCTCAGGTATTTTATCTATCCACCCATACGCAAGCTAAGATTGGACATTTTTGTGTGTACACATGTAAGATCACATTTACTGAGTATTTACCAAAATTCAAGCGTATTTGTAGGCAACAGACTTAATAGGAATTGAGTTTTCACATAAATATTTTATGTGAATTTACGAGATACTAGCTTATCTGTACCTCTGACAGCAGATAATGAATCCAGTACACAGAATCCAGTGATGACATCATCACACCAGGCCAGTGAGCCTGACCATCCAACAAGCATAGGTCTCTTACCTGCCTCATATGGTCAGCACTGGGTTCTATAGACTAATTCTAATGCAGATATTCATGGGTTATAGCACTCCCTGACATTATATTGGTAAATCATGCCCAGTTTTCATGATTGCCTAATGGCTGCACAAGCATCTAACATGCCACCAGCACCATGAAAACTCATCATATCCGCATTATTATGACAAATTTATTAATACCTTGATCCATTCAAACTTCATTTCAGAAGTCACCAACTCAATTTTTCTTATAAGTTGAGTGACAGAGAATTTCTAGCACTCAATCAAAATGCTTGTTTAGAACTTGAATTATGAATTCACCATAGACTATATTCAAGATCAGGGCCTCATCATGCCTATGATATATTTAATCCTATAAAATGACTGTCATAAATGAAACTTTAGCAAGAAAACAAGTTTTCATAAGTCCCAAAGCAGTCGATGGAATTTGTGATGGCTCACGACTATGTTTGAGTCGAAAAGGTGAAAGTTAAGTGGCGTATTGGTCGTATTTCTTGTCAATCATGAATGTATGAATGTCAAGGTTATGTGACAGAAAAATGGAGATAACACACAAATAAATGAGGATGGTCAGTGAACATTATCCTTAAAGTAGAAAACATACAACAGTCCTGGTCTTACCTCTTCAAAATTATCGACTGTAAAGAATATATTTGGATATGTTATTTCTTCTTCTGTTCCCTTACTATCCATTCTACGACGACTCGGTGAAGGATAGACTCGCTGCAATACACAAGTAATACCATATTTGTATAAAGAAAACATCTCCAATTTTTTAACACGTGAATGGTACAACTAATCTGTTTCTGTGACACAGAGATTAATGTCATTTGATTGTGTTGTTATACGAATACCTTCAGACAGGAATTCAAGAAAGGAATGTGCCACTCAAGACATTTGAATGTGACAAATTTTGGACAGTTTGATATTTAACTTGGTTCTGTGTGTTTCACTGATTTTGTGAGATTAGTTCCTGATTTTACAATTTAGCATGATTTAGTTCTGTATGAAGTGATTTCTGGGTTAACCTTCATGTTTGAACTTGAGAAACAAATGTAACAATGACAAGGCAAGAAACAGAATTGGGAAAGTCTGTTCCTGGGACAATAATCACTGGCTCCTGCTCTTGTCTGTGCAGGTCAAGGTCATTAACAAGTTCACTAACAAGGTCATTAAAGAAGGTCATTATCAAGGTCATCAAACAAAGCAGTCTGGAGGTTACTTCTAACCTGCGTGAACTTCCTGAGTATCTGCAGATTTTTCTCATCAGTCCTGGTACACACAGCACATGTGACTCTGTACACAAACTGCAGGAGAGGCAAAGAAATAATAATAATCAACATATAATCATAATAATAATCTTATGCTGTAAAACAATCTTGAAGTGGACACCTCACATCATAAATAATTGTTGAACTACATATTTTTACCTGCTACAATGCAATGCTCAGACAGATATCTTGTTATTCATCTGACATAACCTTAAAATAGCTGTGATGAGATGTTCACTTTATGTGAAAAAATGTTGAGATAGAGACACTTTCACATTCTATAGTATTCACCTGATGCAAGATAATGTTGAGATAGAGACACTTTCACATTCTATAGTATTCACCTGATGCAAGATAATGTTGAGATAGAGACACTTTCACATTCTATAGTATTCACCTGATGCAAGATAATGTTGAGATAGAAACACTTTCACATTCTATAATATTCACCTGATGTAAGATAATGTTGAGATAGACTGTCTCCTCCCAGTCAACTGTTTTATCATCAAGAGATGGAAGTTTCTTTGAGTCACGACGGTAGACTTCTATTTCTGCCTGGTACAGAAGAAATCAACCAAACAATAAGTTAATCAGCAAGGTATACAATCACTTAATCAGTGTGATATACAATCAGTGTGATATACAAACAGTCAAACAGTGTGATATACAATCAGTCAATCAGTGTAATACACAATCAGTCAATCAGTGTGATATACAATCAGTCAATCAGTGTGATATACAATCAGTCAATCAGTGTGATATACAATCAGTCAATCAGTGTGAATCAGTATACAATACAATCAGTGATATAATATCAGTGTGACATACAATCAGTGATATACAATCAGTCTATCAGTGTGACATACAATCAGTCAGTCAGTGTGATATACAATCAGTCAAACAGTCTGATCAGAGTCTTTAATAGACTTTGGAAAATGGCTGTCATGGTGACTCACAGTAAATGTTTTTGGAAGTCATTTCTAAACTTGTGAGCATTGAAAATATTTTATCAATAAAATAATCAAACATATATTCTAAATAAAGCAATGGCTGTAAAAGCATAGCATATTGTTTTGTGACTCACAGTAAATGCATTGCAGTAAACTTATAGTCAGAAACATTAAATTGCTTATTGTATGTAGTGGAGTAATTTGGACTGAAGGTACAATTACTTGAAAATATAATTGCATCACCTAAGACTTGAAAATATTTTGGAATTATTTTACAAAACTGTTGAGTCAAATATGCACTATATTATATCATTTTTGCATGAAATCTTGGTTTTTATTTAAACACAATTTTTCATAGAAATCTTGCAAGAAAGTGCAAGACATGTCATAAAAATTATACATCACATGATTTTAGTATGACAGAGGGCATAGCTTTTAGTTTTACAATCAGTCAATTTTTAAAGAATATACCTCCCTATCAAACATAGATTTGTGTTTATTGGAACCACAATATCTATCTTCTATGCCTTGGTATATGGAAAATAGGACCTGCATATTCAGTCAGAGTCACTAAGTGTTAAACACATTAGCTCCCAATATATCACAATATGAATCCCTGTATCACAATGTATTGCAATACAGTTTATTTTCCCATATCCAGCCCTAATATATGTGAATCCATAAAAATGTGAAAGGATTAAGGAATTACAGTGGAATATGTCTATTACGGATTGGCTTTGGACCGACTCATTTATCCGGATTGTAAAGCAGACCGGATTAGACAACTTTTGTCTGTTACTGTAGACACTGTCATGATGAGTTACCCCCCTTTATTAAGGACACCCAACAACTTGAATAGTTCTTTTTTGGTTTTTATTAATACTCAATATATCATTAATACTTTCATTGGAAAAAGTCTGTTAACAGTAATGCTCACTTCGCTTCAAAATATCGGATACACTCTGTTTGCTTATCTTGTATATCTCAGCGAGATGTTTCTGTTTAGACCTCTCTAACTCGTCAATAACTTTCACTTTGTCACCAAGTGACAAACCAGTCCGCCTACGTTTTGCTGGTCGGTCTGCCATAACAATCTGCCATAACTATGAAGTGAACGTGAAACAAGCAAGTAATCTATCATTAATAAGACTGCAAGCTGACACTGAGTTAACTGACATTAATTAATGTGTGTTGATAGAATTAATTAATTAATTAACCATTGTGAACATAAGTAACAGAGATGTTTGTTCAAGTTATTTTAGTCAGCTACGTCCGGATTACAAAGCATTGTCCTCAAAGCAAGTTGATTGTCGGGACTGTTATCTTAGTCTGTAATCCCTAATTGAGAGAATCCGGATTAGAAAGCATGCTTTAATGATAAATTAGGAACAATTCTGCTGGGACTCTGAGAGTAGTCCAGAATATGGAGAAAAACGGATTACACAGAGTCCAGATTTGACAGATTCCACAGTACTGTTTTATAACAAACATACATACTTGTAAAGAAGCAGGTTTCCCTTTGGCACCAAGTTTATTCCTCCTCACATAAAACAGCATGTCATCTCGACTTTCATCTGGTGATGTGCTGCCATCGAGGAAGTACTGCGAGAACAGCTTGGTCCAGAAGTTGCTCACATTGACTAGTTCAAAGCCTGAATCTGTAAACACAACACTGTCTATTACCAGGAACAATCCACAATAATGAGTTCACTTTTTTAATTTAATGAGTGAGTGAGTTTAGTTTTACGCCACACTCAGCAATATTCCAGCTTTAGTACAACATCTATAACATATACTTGAAAGGTGTGTGTACTCAACATTTTCCTGAACACAGTTTGCTCAGTAGCGATAGTTATTATTTTTAACATGTGAATCAAGACAAGGCCCTGCTCAAGTAACCGTGAAACCAGTTAGAGCTAGATTAGACTAGTGAGACTAGTGACACAAGTCTTTCATAATACTATGATTATTCTATAATGAATCACTACAAGAATCTGTCAGGACAGAGTAACTATAGTGCTATGGGCGAGTGAGTGAGTTGGGTTTTATGCCGCTTTTAGCAATATTCCAGCAATATCATGGCGGGGGACAACAGAAATGAGCTTCACACATTGTACCCATGTGGGGAATTGAACCCGGGTCTTCAGCGTGACAAGCGAACGCTTTAACCACCAGGCTACCCCACCGCCCCCTTATACTATAGCGCTATGGAAGAACTGGGTGCTTGTTCACTCCTTTTGAGCAGCATATTATTATCATTATTATATGACCTGGTTGAATCTGGGACACAGTTTCATGTACCCTGATGGCATGGATCATTTCTCATTATATCAACCACAAGTTTTGAAGCAATCTACTCCACACACTGCTTCAACATCTGGTAGTGGCAAGTGTGGTACATACAGATCATACAAAGTTCATGCAGAGTTGAGTCATAAATAACATCATTTGGCAGACACACCTTCACTACTGTAAATCACTAAATTTTTGAGAGCATGATATTTTTGCTAAAACTGCGAATGACCTGACACAATGTGCTGGTCAAAGGCAGTAAACAATCAACAACTAACGTGTCTCATTATTCACCAGTTGATATGGTCAACAACAGATCGATCTAGACAATACATTAATTAAGCAATAACAACATGGGGGAAGGCTAATTAGTAGCATTACTAGACATGTCAAACAAGGGATACTCGAACAAAAGTTACTCAATCACTCGTCTGCTAGCCTGTATAGGTACCAACAAAATTCTTTGTCTTTAGAGACCGTTTGATAGGCCGACACCATTCAGCGGGCGTGGATAGGTTTCATCACATGATCCAGAGATCAACAGCTTTGGTGTCATTGTCTTTCAAGTTTGCTGACACTTTCTCTGCATACCAGTGACTAAACTCATCTTTCATGCAGTTTTAAGCTTGTCTGGCCTGTGCAGTTTGTGCTGTTTTTAGGAAAACATCACTGATTCCCCTACACGGAAGTACTCACCTGAGCTCAGATTAGCGGCAACCTTTAATACGTGATTGAGTTTACTTTAAATAGAACTTTCAGTTGCAATTTATTTTTGAGAATTAGGCAAGTCGCAAAAATATCCTGACACAAAAATTTCGTGTTTTACTGTATTAAACTGCAAATTGACTGTTGGTTTTCATGTGGCACTAAGAAAACACACACACACACTGACCCCTCACCCCTAACCCCCAGAATTAAAAATGGATTGAATATTCCCCTGGTGACCACTTTTCATGTACTTACAACCAGTAGCTGTTTCATCAACAGATACCTGAAGACTGTCATATTCTGTCAAACATGCTGACATGTCTTAATTCAACATGATTGGCGAAACATTTACATTTATCAAACATTAAAGCAGATCCTGTGAATATAGCAATATAGAGCCTCATGAAACAACTACTGGTTGTATTTGGAGTAAACTATTTTGTGTTTATGCAGTGATAATCACTAGTTTGTGGTTTATTTTTGTTTGTTTTGTTTACTGTTTAACGCCACACTCAGCAAGATTCCAGCTACATGACGATGGTATGTAAATAATCAAGTCTGGATCCAGTGATTGACATCATGAGCATCGACCTAAGCTGTTGGGATATGATGACATGCATCAACCAAGTCAGCAAGCCTGACAACCCGATCCTGTTAGTCGCCTCTTTTGACATGCATGAGTTGCTGAAGGCACATTCTAACCAGCATCTTCACGGGTTCGGACTAGTGGTCAATGGGAAAATATATGTATTTTGTCAGAAAACAAGTAGGTCTGTATTTTCACAAGTCATAGACTAAGAAATTTGTATCACCCGTATTAAATTATTGTTCAGATCACATCGCGATCCTTTATCACACGTAACAACGTATGACAGTCGATGACAATTGTCATACACTACACAATCATCATGATCAAAGCTAACAACCAATCAAATATCATTATATGTCTTCATTTCCTTACTGTACTACGACTCTAATGTAGTGATTATGGATGTCATGCTATACGTTTGTTCATCCTCATGTGATTTACGGAACAATAATTATAAGGTCATGATATCATGCTCATGTTGTAGTGAAAAAACAACACCTTGCTCGGGATTCCCTTACCATCGTCCCCAATTGTAGGATGAGTTCTGTTCCTCTCTTCGACAATAGAGTTGAGCATTCGTTGCAGAAGCGATTCCTTTTTCACTGGCGAGGATGGTTCACTCGACGGCGATGATTCTTCGTCTTCCGCCATATTTTGTCAACTACGATAATCAACTTCCGGCGAAAAGCGTTTTTGTAAACGACCTCAAAATATGTCCACTTGCTTTCGCAAATAGACTGGTGTTCCCTTTTCCACTTGTTAACCGATCAAGCATTCTTTTTCTTATCTATTCGGCATCATATACCTTAGAAGTTCTGCAAAGACACAATACAAGATCGACTTCTCATCATTGCATGTTGTAATACTTGGACGAACAAAAAAGTGGGCGTGTCCAAAATGTAATGACAAGGAAGGGAGGCTACTCTAACAACTTAAGAGTTATCTCCTCGGAAGTTTCCTTTTGGTCGCTAGGGGGCTTCGCGCACGTTCTCTTTCCTTTCGTCCTTGGGTTTCGTAAGCCAAACGGGTCCGAACCATGGAAGAATACGCTCGTGATCCGTGCCCATGGCGTATAGTTGACGATTGTGGTGGCGCTTTTTCGATGGGAGCGATTGGTGGCTCGTTGTTCCATGGAATCAAAGGATACAGAAACGCTCCAAGTGGAAACTACAGACGACTTATTGGGAGCCTCGTGTCCATTAAAGAGAAAGCCCCCATTACAGGAGGCAACTTTGCAGTGTGGGGTGGACTTTTCTCAGCAATTGACTGTTCTATGGTGTATATCAGAAAGAAAGAAGATCCCTGGAATTCTATAACAAGTGGTGCCCTAACCGGTGCCATTCTTTCTGTGAGAAATGGAGCAGGAGCCATGGTGGGTTCTGCAATTATTGGTGGCGTTCTGTTGGCACTCATCGAGGGAATGGGAATAATGTTCACTCGTTTCTCAGCGGAACAGTTCAACCCAGCGAACAGGACTGTCATGGAAGAATCACAGCCCCCTCAAGCCCAGAGTAATATATTTGGACAATCAACACCCAATTATCAATAATGAAGTATTTATTAGACTTTGAAAGCATTCATAGCATTTTAGAGACTACTTATATTCTTACAGAGGGTATATTGGTCTTGCAGAGCGAAACAGGGGACTTTTAGTGAAACATTTTTTCTCATGTGTCGAGACTGAAACAAATCAGTTGGATGAAACGTGCTGCGTTATTAAAACTGACATTTAGACTTGTCAACATTGTGTGGATACACGTTACGATGATACATGTACTGGTATTTGAAGTGATGGGTTTGATATACACCTACACTCCATTGTTGTCCACCAGAATTGAAGTGTGTTAAATGTCATCATTGATGATGTGAAATGTATGTGTGTCTCTATTTGTTTGTTTAAAATTTTAATCAAGAAACTGAACTCTCTGAGGTCTTTAAGATTATTCCTTATTTGCCATTTTTATGTATGTGACATACATGTTGTAAAGTGATCTATTTAGAAACCAACAAGAGACACTGGAAATTAAAATTTGTAATTGACATTGTTTTTTCTTGTTATACCATGTAACAGGATCAGACTCGATGACTCGGCTGACAATGTCATCCTATCCCAGTTGCGTAGATCTATACTCATGCTGTTGATCACTGGATTGTCTTGTCCAGACTCTATTATTTACAGGCCACCACCATATAACTGGAGTATTGTACAGTAAAAACCACTCATACGCTGATTTATTGTACCAGGTATATCTGGTACTGGTACTCAACATACTCATGACAATGTCTTTTACATAGCTTCTTCAGGTATTAGTTCATGTGGGTTGTGACGAAATCTTCACTGCAGCAAAATCGACATTGATTGGTGAAAATTGAAAACAGCTTTTTTGATTTGAAACTTGCACATTGTTTTTTAATATTTGGTTTTAGAAACAAGCAATAAATGAAGTTAAACTCGCAAGTTGGAATTACAGATAATTGTGATCTGTTGATCGCCTTTAATTCTCATCACTGCTCAGCATGATGATGTTGAGGGTTCTAATACTTTTCTGCAAAGTATCAATGATTAACAGCTCGTGTGTTGATGTCTCGTGACTAGAAAATTTGATCATTATCGATGATAGAAGAATGGTGTTTTGTAAGGCAGTATTCAAGTGATGATGTGATGACGCCTTGATACCTGATCCATTTGTCCCCTCATGCAGCAAGCATTGGCTGGTCAGAACATATTCTACATCAGAATACTGCTCGGGTCCATGAAATATTTCCTTATTAACAGTTATGTTTGTCTGATGCCAAGTGGCTTATTATGAAATTTGTATCATGTAAAGGCTAGTGTTGGGAATTGGTTGAAATCTTATAATTGATGATTGGTTCATTATTACAGATCAATCATCGAAAAAATTGGTTAGAGTCATTTTTCAGATTTTCCTATTCAGGTTGTTATTGGAGATAAGTATAACATGGTGCAACTTGATACTTTAAAGTGATGACTGATATATTATCATGAACATAAACTTCTGGAGTCTTCAAGAAATATTCAGTCATGTCTTTTCAGTTAGTGAAGTGAGTATTCTAATAATTAAACACGTTGTCAGGCCCTGACAACTTCTCAGATTTGTTCCATCGTCAAGTGTTTCAAACACTAAAACAGTAGTTCCAAAATCGTATGTGATCGATTGCCTGGTCATTTAGTCACTGCGACCAATCTTCGATTATTTCAACTAATTGGAACACCACTAGTGTTATCTATGAAATACACAATGCCATTTTAGAAAGTTTTAGTGTTATCTAGGTGATAAACTAAGCCCAAAACCTTGGTAGCATCAAACCCTTGTTAATGTTTAACATTCGTAATGAAGTGCGCATATTACATGCTCAATTTCAAACATGATATATTTTTGCTATACTTATGAATATTGCTTTTCAATTTTCACAACCAAGGGTTTTCTGGAAAAAAATGAACCATCTGATTGTTGGAATTCAAAACACGAGACACAGGGTGTTGTAACTTTCATGTTAAACGTAGGTTTTCAGATCTCTAATTAACCACACTGCTTTAAATGATGCATGTGCCTTCTTTATCTATGGCATATTTTCTGACACCGCTTCCTGAAACATTAGCTCCCAGGAATTAACAATGAAAAGTATAATGATGACTGGAATAAAAACTCCATCTGATTATTGGAGTGGGCTGGACTGTTGTGTACCACAGAGATCAAACTTTGATTTGACATATCACGATATTGTGGACAAAAGAACCACAACCCATGCAGCATTCATTCCTGGCCAGTGGGGTAGCCTAGTGGTTAAAGCGTTGGCTCGTCACGCCGAAGACCCGGTTCAAATCCCCACATGGGTACAATGTGTGAAGTCCATTTCTGGTGTCCCCTGCCGTGATGTTGCTGGAATATTGCTAAAAGCGGCTTTAAACCAAACTCAGTCAGCCAGTCCTGGCCAGGGCCAAGGTGTTCTGCATTGTTTGTTTCTCACCTCAGCACTCTGCTGTATTCCTGCTATATGACCATTGGCCCCCACTGAGGGTCAGAAAATTTATAAACTAAGCCAGGTTTACTGTAGTAAGGGGGCTGGATAGTAAACCGGGGCATAGTTTATCGATTTTCTGACCCGCAATAGGGTCCTATGTATATGACGTAGTTGTAACTAATCAAATCTCGACCAGTCAATCCAGTGATCATTAGCATCAATCTTGGTAGATTGGATAGGATAAGATGACAGGTATCCAAGTCTGTAAGCCTTTTTACCCTATCTTGTTTGTAGACTCCCACAATAAGGTTTTGGTTGCTGATAAATTCTTACCTTGATTTTCATGGGGTTTAAAACCAAGCGAAGACATTTTTCTGCTTGAGAGATCAGATCACCTTCTTATACAGGTCCAAGGGCAAATATCGTACAGTATGGCTTGTGTTCTGGATACTGAGCGTTGTCTCTGTATAACCTTAATAAGGTAATTGCTCGGGGGATTTTACTAGCGCTTCGACGTTCGCGTCGAGTGATAGAAGCACAGTTACAATCACAACGCTAAGCAACAAGGGGATTAACAAGGACTGGGCAACACAGGTTTGTATATTGTGTCTGACAGGGATATTCATGTTATTAAAGCGGCATGGTATCTCGAGGGCATGTTCTCATTTCGCCTACATCCCAATTCGCCTACAGTCTTATAACAACATTTCATGGTCTGTTGACAGTTGATTACGCAATGATATACTAGTGTCACCCCTATGATCTAAAAGTGGACTCTTCTAGTTGAAAGATAAAAAGACTTTTTTAAAGAATTTATTTCTGTTATTTGTCTGTTATTTATTTACCCTGTTATCTGTCTATTTTCCGATCACAATGATATTCACATCATATCACATCATGTAGCATCATATCACATATGCTTAGTGTTAAGGAAGTTTACTTGTGCGGATGTCCATTCTCACTTCATCACGAACAGGTTTTCTCAGTATCAGTCTATAACCTTGTTTGAACTTCTTAGCGGATGCACCAATCCTCTTTACTCAACTACATATCCTTATAACAACTGAGTATTTTACAGTGAGACATTAACTACATATCATCATTGCTTTTACAATTTAGCTTGTGCATTAATCCCTTTTATTTATTTTAACTGAACTGAACTGAACTTTATTTCAACTCAGGCCGCAGACAGCGGCACATGAGGTTACATATATGTTAAATATATTCATATAGTTATATACAATGTATGTGCAGTCGAGTATTTCATATATACAGATGAATAAGTAATGCATTATATATATAGATAGATTGCATTAATATAATAGAAGTATTTAGATGGAGTATTCTTACCGAAGATTCTTAAAAGTTTTACCCTAATTAGTATGGCACTGACGAGTGAGTCAGGTTCATTATAAGAGTAGGGGTGCATTTTCTAATCCCAATTAGCCTACATTGTTTTTGTATGCGAAATGGGATGTAGGCGAATTGAGATGTAGGCGAATAGAGACTAAACCATCTCGAGGGTAGGACAAAATCCCATAGGACAAAATCCCATAGGACAAAATGTCTGCACACTGCGGACAAAATTCCAACAGTGTGAAAAATGACATTATTTTAGTTTTCCTCATAAATAAGTAGTATTAATCATACGCACTAATAACACGATTCAACGCAATCTCCTAACATAATGCATCATCATCCTGGTTTATGTTCATGGTACATGTAATCATCTAAAGCTTCATTCTAGAATATCATCTTTGTACATCTTACTTGATGTATGACTGGATGACTATGAGATGTAACATGAACCGGATTATCCATTGTCAACGATGTCTTCATGGACACACGACATTCTAATGCAACTTTTCTTGAACATTCCCACCTAATACTACTCTTATTTTGTAACCTTCCTAGTGTACAAAAATCCATCTAATGCTACTTTAACTCGTCCCTTATTGCCCTTCAGTACTTCCAGTTTGAAACACCGATAAAAACTGTCTTCATCACCGACACATTTGTACAATTTATCAATGCAGCCCCAGGCTTCTGTTACGAAAACATTCTTATCGACTTATCTCACTGGCTTCTGTCATGAAAATATGCTAATTGAAACTGGTGCAAAAGGATAGCAATAACACATAAAAATGGGAATTTGTCCTACGTTGGTGGTTTTGGTGTGGGATTTTGTCCAAAGATATTTTGTCCTATGGGATTTTGTCCGTTCCCCGGTATCTCACTGGGTGTACACCATAACACTGGCGTCCGGAATGGTAGACAGACAGACAGATTGAATATTATAGTCTCACCTCGTTACAGTCATTTTGATAAAAACATACATAAATAATACATACATAATAAAAACTATACATAACCTAAGACAATATAAGCGTAAAAGTAACGAGCCACCCTGTACAGAGTTACGAGAGACTTTAAAATTATAACATCTATAAAAACATTCAAAGTTAAGAACTGCAGTCACTCTATTTAATATCCTTTGATAAAAAATTACCTAAAAGTTTTAAAAGAAATCAATGAAATAAAATCTTATGACGCTTACGAAGAATATTATTACACGTTTTGGCACTCTGGGCTATAACATTAGGTGATGAGAGCATAAAACCAACTTTCTGAATATCATCTAAGTTATTAAAATCCTCATTTATCACAGAACAACATGACAGTAGATTACGTCTTTCTTCTTCATACACTGTACATCTTAACAAAACATGTTCTCATCTTCAACATCATTGTTGCATAGAGGATATAATCTCTCACTGTACGGGGTGTTGGTGTAGCTTCCGGTCTCTATATTTATGGGCGCAACTCCGCTTCTAAACTTGGCTAATGACGATCTGTGGCTTCTGGGTAGCTCTGCTGTGACATAGGGCTCTACAGTGAATGTGTTCTTAAAGGTTCTGTACGTTCTCAACTTATTTCCACCCTTTCCATTACTGCTATCCGATCTTGAGACGTTTCTTTCCCAGTCAACCTTGAAAGTCTCAAACATCTTGGTGGTAATACTGTTCACAACATATTGTTTTCCATAACGATGTTCAAT